TTAAAAAAATTAATCTGTAATAGTTCGCTTTACAAGTGGATGGTGTTCTTGAATTCTGCCCCATTGAGATGAGATAAGCGGCTTCTCAGTTTCACCGAAATTCGCTTTTTTTTCATCTATCAAAAATGCAACTAATTGGCATTTCTGCGTACAATTAGATTTGCTTATTTCCTGATTAGTAAATACACGTTTTACTGAACATAACAGTTGAAAAAAATTAATTTTTTAAACGTCCCTATTTTGTTGGATCTTGGTAAATGCTATTGTTTTGTAGCCAGAATAGTTATTGGATCAATTATATTTCACTGTGTTTTACGTAATACCTTTTCTCCTTTTTCAAAATCTCTAACTAGTGTTTAAACAACATAAGATAAACTGGATTCGGTAGACCACTTCAAATTCTAGGAAATGATTACCTAAGCTTAAAAGAAAGCTTAGGTAGTTAAGAAGTTCGAAACATCAACGTCCATGTTACCAACATACGACTCTTCCAGTTGGTCTCCGAAACCCAGCTACCGACCGAAACTTGATTTCACTTCAATCACTGAGGGTTTTACTCGGGAGAAATTCTTAGGTACTTGTGATGCGCTAAAGTAAGATGCTATATACCCCTTAATTTTGCATAGCTTTGCCTGCTTTTTGCCCATGACAGCAAAATAACCTAGATAGCTGTTTTGAAACCATTGCTTTTTCTCCCTCCTTTCAAGGCTGAGTTCTCATGGTTGTTAACTACTTTTACCTACATGTGGATTGTGTTGTCAAGGTCATTTGGGGATGTATATATTCAGTAGCGCTGCCAACTTTATTGACTGTTGTTGAGACAGTAAAAAGATCTCTGTCAACGGTCTATCTTCTCTTCCTGTCTTCGCGCGTCGTTGGTGTTGTTATTGAGGTTCTGATTTGTGGCAGAGTCGATTTGTTTGTGTTTTAGGTTCTTTTCTGCTAGGTTCGTATCGCTCGGAGACTGTTAGGTCGCATCACCAGTCATAGCATAGGATTTCATCGTGATATTTGTTTTCAGTGAGATTAATTCATGATAAAACTTACTTTAAGTGCACTGTGGAACGGAGAGTTTGATTGCATGCCTCTGATGATCCTCTCTTTATAAGCGTCGCTGAACTAAGGGATTAATGCTTCACAACAAAAACGTGGATCAATGCCTTATCCTAGAAGCCAACTTTATTGTAGTTTGCATTGATCAAATGTTTACCTAGATACTGTTTTAAAATCTCACAGAGTAGCTATGAAGATGATTCTGATGATTTATAATTTATAGCAAACTTAAACACAGATTTTAAGGTGGTATTCAAAACAGACTGATATCAGTTAGACAACTGTTGAAAACCTGTGGATAATGGACAGCTGCTCCTTGAGCAGCGTGCACCCATGACGCCGCTAGGGATCGGACCCAGGCTCTCCTGTTTATTCGCGAGTACGATACCATTGTGCCAACAGATCCGAATCTAATGGTCCACATTTAATCATTTCTGCAAATTTGCGATATAGCGCGATCTTCATGCAATGTCACCGTTTAGTATTGGTCCTTATATCCGACTTAGTTGGCTACATACATCATGACTTCCCGTCAGAATTTCAGGAAATCTCACCTCGGAGCATGTCACTAGTGACCCGAGGACAGCCTCAGGTTCAATCCCTGGTGGGGCCATGGGCGCGCACTGCTGAGGAGTCTCTAGCCAGGACGAAACAGGAGTCCATTGCTAACAGGTTTCCAATAGTTCTCCAGCCGATATCAGTCCATGCTGAATACTACCTTGAAATCAATTATTATTATTTGTCCCTTGGGTTCCTAGTGGAACATAGGCTTCAGTAGCACATCTCCACTGAAATCAATAGACTCCCACAAACCTCCAAACTAAAACAAAGACATCAATGTCTGTTGAATATTACACAATATTGCCACATATGACACTACTGGATTTATGCGGTCTACCACCATCGTACTTATAAAGTATTGAGATGCTAAACAGCAAAAGTATCAAGTTTAAAACCAACATGCTACGCTCTATGAAATGAACACCTTCTGAGGTTGAATTTGGGGGTTTGTGGGGATTTAGAGATGTTTCAAGTTGGTATTCATCATGGACTGACATCAGTTGGAGGAACATTGGAAAATAGAAGTTGGAAATATGGACCATTGGATTCCGACTCAGTGACTCAATAGTAATGTGCTGGCCACAGAACCTGAAGGTCCTGGGTTCGACCCCTGGTGGGGTCATGGGTGTGCACTGCTGAAGAGTGTCATACTGAGGTGTATGGAGAATAATATTTATATTCAAACCCGTCAATTACGTTAATCATAATTCTACTACCTGTTTGTTCGATTCAAGGTCAATCGAAATAGATTTTAACCTATAACCTACTGATTAAAAGTTAAGTATTTGATAAAAATTTGGTTCGATACAATCTTTTATGAGGCCAAGAATTCTAGTTGCTGACGTCATCTTTCATATGAATTTCAGATTGCTGAACTGATAGAAAGTCATGTATCACTTCAATTTTATCACTTTGACTTCATTTGTACACAAATTTATCTATCACAAGCTAGGTTAGTAATAACTGGTCACAAATACAGGGTTATATATTCATCCCTGACTATTAGTTCATATTAGAAAATGTTTGGTATGTTGTGCTACATGACAGTCATTTCGTCGAATATTGCATGTTGTCAACAATCAAGAATTAAACTCGAAAGAAACAACACGGTATTTTTTTATCCTCAATCATTTTGATTATCGAAATCAACTGTTGTTTAAGAACTGTGTTTCCCCATCACTGTTAGATTCCATCATTACACTTCTCAATGTCTATTATCTTCTTAATAACATGGTTACATTCACCGACAGAAACCAGGATGTGTGTTTCATCTTACTTGGGACACGTCAGCTAGATATACCCAGTGAGCGATGTTGCTCCCACTGGGGGGCAGGTACATCCAGCTGACAAGTTCCAAATAGGACAAAATGTGCATCCTGGATTTCACTGCTAGCCACTATCCATCATTACTACAATTAGAACACCGGTGATATCGAGTTATCCACACAGGAGCCTATATGCCAATAGAGACCGGTCAATTCGGTCCAATCAACAACGGTATAATACAAGCAATCATACTAATATATTCATCAGAGTTTAAAATATGTGAAACGGCTCTTAAATACGTAACTGACTATTGAGGTTTTTGCATTTATTTCGAAGTTTTCAGTCACAAAACTAGACTTCTTGGAGAAGGATAATATATGATCGGTTGCATCTATTACTAAGTATATTTTGTGTCAATACTTCTCTTTTTTCCGTTATTCCTAGTTTGCTCAACTTTCTATTTTTTCTATTACTTTATGTATAAATGACAAAATTTCTAATTAATTTAAATACTATTTACGAAGTGAAAGTAAATAGGATTTCTATTGTGTTTAATTAAACTGGGCAAATTAAAAGACTCTAAAGTGACCATATTTAATCATCTTTGCTTGATTATTTATTCAAATTAGCTTGATGTTTTGCGAGTGTTGGTTGTCTGTGATACAATGGCGAATCATATTGAGCAACAAGTCTCATCAATAACTATTCTGTTGTGAGAAGAATTAGGAAATTCGCAAATCGTTCAAACAATCCTTGAAAGTTCATAATGGAATCATATCAGTTGGAGTAACATTGGAAACCTTAGGGCACTGGACAGCTATTTCGTCCTAGTATGACACTCTTCAGCAGTGCATACCCATGACCCCACCAGGGGTCGAAACCAGGACCGTCAGATTCCGTGGTCAGCACGTTATCAATAAGCCACTGGGTCGGAATCTAGTGGTCCACATTTCCTATTCTGTCAGTTCATGATACAGCGCAACCTACATCCAATATCGTCGTCGAGTAACTGTCCTCATATTCGACTTGGTTGACTCCACTGGTTACGACTTCTCATTGGAACTTCAGGAATCACCTCTTTCAGCTAGTCACCAATGAGCGCTAGATTAATTCTATCTGGAGGTTTGTGGAGGTTTATTAATTGGGTTTTGACCAATTAATAAACCTCTACAAAGCAATATCAGTGATTTGTTTGACGAAACAGTTGTTATTCAAAGTTGTGACAAATAGCACAGTATATGAACCTACATTCGACTCGATATAAAATTTCATTTTCTACTCAGTTAACTAATTCTAAATATAAACCTGATTTTCTAGAATCTGTAGTTTACAAAAGCAATAAGTCCTAAATTTCCTGCCATATCAAAATCCAAGACGAGTGGTCACTATCCTATTGTCGATTACCAATCATGACCCATACATATCGACGTGTGAATAACAAACCCGAGATGTCGATGATTTACAAATCTGACATATTTCATTGTAACCAGATAAAACAGTGAAGTTGTTTTTTGAACACAGAGATCAGACCTGTGCTGTTGGATTGTCACAGTCTCTGCTATGTTGAGGTGGAGAATACGCCGTCCGTTCGAAAAGTTTTGCTTAACTTCATTAATGACTTTGAAAGAAAACTCTTCTTGTGGAGCAAAGTGACCAGATATAACCAAATGCCAAGAATCGAGCTGTTGATGGTTTTACACTTTCCTTTAGACGGCCATATATGATAGTGTTCGGAGATGTGTTTGATAGAATACGCTTTGTGCAGCCTATGTAACCAGCTCCACAAGAGCAGGTGAATTGGTCAGCACATACAGAGGACTGACTACTGCTTTAGGCCACCGAATAGCCAGAATTATCGTATGGAGGTAGATACACAGAATTTCTTTTGAAAAAGAGTTTAGGCACAGTACGAACATGCCAGCCTGAGGTATTGAAATGAGGGTGAGACTATAATTGAAAATATCATTCATTGATATCACAGTGTGAATCTATACTCCATAACTTTCTACAGAAGTTCTCATTTCCTAAATACCTAAAATCACAAAGAGAAGTATGTAAAGGAACGAGTAAACATGAAACCCATAGAGAATTACCAATCAAAGAGTAGGTACGCCACTTACTCAGTGAATTGACTAATCCTGGCTCCACATTAAATAATCCACTGGTCCGCTTATTTAAAGCTATTTCACTTGCCCATCTAGCTCGACGATATCTTAGATGATTAGGTGATGTCAACGCCGAAGATTCAACAATATCATGTGGTGAATGTAAATTTGATGAAGGGTTGGACAAATTTAATGGGTGCACATTATATTTACATGCTAATGGAGAGCGCCTCGCCATATTGGTTATCACTGGAACAGGATTATTTGTCGTCGGACTTACAGATAAGTATATGTTTGGACCTGAAGGAGCAAAATCAGAGAGAGACAGCATTAATGCAAAATGGTTAAATTCGAATGGTGTTTGCTCAAAAAACGGTTAAAATTCAGTTGAAAAGCATGAATGCTTAGTCTCTACTCCCTTTGAACAAATCATATTTTAATAAAATATAAACTATTAAATTCCTTTAAAAATTCAACTTATCAATTGCATGAGCGTAGGTAATCTTGGGTGTCGGTAACATCTGTTGCGTGAAGTTTAATTCGATCATATAGTTATTTCAAGCTCTGCTAGTCGAAGTAAGATTTTCACATTATGGTCGAGTAATTGTTAAGCAGGCGCAAATTCAAAAAAAGCTTTTAAAAATTGACGATCAGATAAGCATTGTGACAGATTACTAGACTATACATCTGGAATTATTAAGGATATTGGAACAAGGTACGCCTTGTTTTACTATCAGTCACCCCAAACAAAACAGATTGCTAATCTGTCGATACTAGTCTGCCAAACCACGGCTATCTCGGATAGTCAAATGATAAACTATTTGTTACGGAAGTCGAGTCCCTAATAACTAACTAATAATGTATGCATATTATCGTAGTAAAATTTAAACCTTACTTTCCCACCGTTTTCACTCCACGCCATATGATTTATTGTTAGCGTGGTTTAAGATACTAAACATCGATTGGTTCACTTTACACTTTTAATATGCCATTTTGTTTTCCCTGGTCAAGCTCCTTTGAAAGATCTATAAACGACTGAGTTTTCAGCTGTAATCGCATCATATTACTGAAATAAACATACTTTCAATCCAATTGTACTTTTCTTCAGGTGTCAGCTGAATATCGTGTTGAGACGTCATTGTTCTGTCTTTAATAGTATCGCGTCGAAGTATTATTGTCCTTGTGTACTGCAGATCAAAACACTATGAACAGAAATCATAGATGCAAACTGTCTGTTTCTAACTAAAGATGAAAGCCAGCTCATTAAAAAGTCAATGTGAAGTTACTTATGGAAGGGGGAGTTCACTTGAGTACCTGGTAAATACTATTAGAACTCCAAGCATTTTATACACAGGTGTGTATTGGTGTTGTTTACCGAAAAAAGAGGTTATGTAAATAGATATGCATTTTTGACTGTAACACTTCCTAAACTCACACGTGACTACAGCTGTTTCCCCGGGATAACATTATTTTTCAGAATGATACTAATTACGGATAGTAGCTAAAAAGGAAGGCATGAATCGCATTTCTTCTCTTTGGGACTCACCAGGTGGATGTTCCTACCTCCCATTGAGTTATGTTCTTCCCATTGAGACTCGAAATCGGTATCCAATACATAAAATGCTTCAGCACTATCCATTAAGTTACTGAGTCACAACATCCACTCCCTGTGCGACAGGCATAGTTTGATATAGTACAGCTTGCAGTTTTTCCTGTCGTCGACTGAACTTCATTGATCGGTTATTAATGGCATATGGGCCTCTGAGCGGATGCCTTGATTATTACTATTATTATTATTATTGTTTGTCCCTTGGGTTCCTAATGGAACATAGGGCTTCAGTTGCACGTCTCCAGTGAACCCTGTTCTCTGCTACCTTTTGAACCTGGCTCCACGACTGCCACAACCTCTCATTTCCCCCTCGCACGATCTCCTCCATCTCACCCTCGCTCGACGCCCAACTTCTCGCTCCCAATCGAGTTCCACTCGAGGGCCTAGCCTGGCGCGTGATGTCCCCAGTCGGCCTTCTCAGTGTATGCCCCGTTCAATCCATCTCCACTTCCTTCCACTGCATATTTGTTCAGCGACAGCTTCTTCGTTGGTTCGTTACCCGGCCAGAGTTCCTTGTTGCTTATTCTTATTATTCTGGCCATCTGATCTTCAGTAACGAGCCAGCGTAGGCGGCAGTTGTTGATGAATGTCTATAGTTTGTTCGAAATGCCTTTCGTACTAAGCCAAGTCTCTGGACCATACAGGAGCACTGACTTGACTGAAGTTGGTGTTGAAAATCCAGATCTTGTTCCACATGCTGAGTGTAGTGTAGTAGATCTCCACACTGGTTTCAGGTTAATTCAGGAAGGCCTGTCTTGCTTTTCCGATCCTGGCTGGCTATGACGTCCTCGTCTGTGCCGCCTGAAGTTGAAACGGTGCTGCCTGGATAGTTGAAGAAGGCTACTTCCTTTAGGTTTCTCCCGTTGATGGTGACTGGGGCTTGTTGTTGTTGTTGGTGGTGGTGGTGGTGGGGTTGGTTGGGTATCTTCATCACCTATCTTCTCTAAGTTCACTTGAAGTCTCGTCTTCGCTGCCTCGCCACTTCTGTCAGCTTGTTATTTTTCGCCTGTAGATCTTCCAGTTTGTGCCTTGATATTACCAGTAATTTCATAATAACAATACAAGGTATTACATCTAAAATTACTATCCTTTAAAAAACTGTATTAAGTTCACCGAAAATCATATTTTTCACTTTGTATATTCTATGTAGATTCACTGTTACCACCGATAGCTAAACTAAAAATCGAATTCATAGTATTTACTAGGTGGTTGTCTTTTCAGTGGTAGCCAACACTGACAGATGACTAAATTTTCTTTACTTTATTTCAGCCTAAATTATTATATGAAATATTAAGTGTATATCTATTATTTATTTGAAGAGCTACTGGACCACAAATCACAATGTTATGAACACATTACAATGCCATGTGAATATTGAATCTACACTTTCTTTCTTCCGATGCGATTCACATCTTGATAATAATCAGTAACTTTCTAGTTCACTGCAATGGGTAAAACATTATTTCTAAAAAATCTAGCTGGATCAATCACAGGTGGTAACATTTTGTAGTTATCTCATATGTGATCATGTTTTTCTTCTTCGGCACACCTTAGTTCTCTGGCTCACGTTTAATATATATTCGTAAGGTGTGCCATTAAAATATATTCGGGAAGTTTAAGCAAATGAAATCGTGAATACATCCAATGTAAAAGTGAACACAATTTCGAAACTCGTTCTAAATTAACAAAAACAGAAATCATATATGACTCTAAACAATATATATACCAGTAGCCCAATGAATGGCTCAACTAAGGATGACAATACTGAATCCGAATCTCAATAAACTATGGAATTAAAAGATTCATCAGAAACACGGAAACAGTGAGTAACAGAAAGACATGATCTGCTCCGAAAGATATGCAATACACAAAATCGGCTAACCAGTTAGTTGAAAATGTAGACTAATCCCTTTCGACACCAATGATATCATAGTATAATCTGTAATAGAGGAGCTACGCAAAACAGTTTGAAGATACAAGCAGTTTGAGGTAGGAAATTGCTAATGTGACAGAGATACCAGGTAGTATATAGGTATCAGAGGCCATTAGACTGCTCAACTTCACTGATCATCCCAGTCCATAAGAAGGAGTAGAAATCCTCCTGTGACAAACATAAGCGAATCAGTTTGACTAATATTGTATCCAAGATCCTACGGCCCACAGTTATCTGACGCCTAACTGGAGCACGAGAACAGCAAAACGAAACTATACCGGTCATATTTCCACCCTCCGATAGATGCTGGAACACAGCCATACATATCGGTCAGCGACTGACACTCACGAAAAAGCTAACAAATAAAAATATTCTTGTTGAACAAAGAGGTAAATTAGAGGCAAATTAACATATGCAACCTAGTAAACATCCACTCAATCATGTAGCTAAGTAACGATTTGCGAATTCGTGTATTTAGCAATGAACCACATTTATGATACTAACTGGCTGTTCAAGTTGCGTTAAGTGGAGGATGGTTCAAGCAGGTGACCGCCTGGTCGGAATTCAACTGACTAAACCAATAAGACACATGTCCTAGGAACCTATCGCAGTGTTATCTGATGATCACACCAAAAATCAAGAGTGTTGACATTGGGTAGTCCACATTTGTAGGTTTATCAAGGATAAGAAAGCCGAAAAAGAAGAACTAAAAAGATCTATTCACATTATTCACCAGACATTCTACTGGTGCAGTTAGTAACTTCACAGGACCAGATGAACCAATCTGTCGAATAAATAAACGATATTCAATACGATAACCAATCTAAAAATGATTTAAAAATTGCAATTAGGTATACCGATCCATGCAAGTCAGTTAGCCAGATTTAGGTGATCTGAACTAATTTGGCTCTATGAGCCAAATTTATTTGCATATACTGCTGATGCGTTTGGTCCCTAACACGCAAAACGGCTATCCGACGTTGCTTAGATCACTCTGATCTGGCTGGGAATATCTACTGACCAGCTTCAGTGGTTTCTAACTATTCAACTTATTCAGTAGTGTATTAAACAATATTCAAGTTGGTTGTAAGATTACTGCTTTTAAAGTTGGTAATTAGTTAACTGAAAGAAAGAGGCTAAATCCCAGTAATGCTTCAACCTTGGGTACACTTAAATCAGAACAGATATGACAGTGTATCAGGAGCTGAAGTGGTGGATAATATCAACTCTTATCAATTTTGACTAAAATATTGATAAAGTTCTTTATCTAACAGAACTTACTATGATTTTATACTTGTGGTAAATAAAGTTAGTGGAATTTTTGAGTTTCTCATTCATTCACCAAAAATAAAACCGATAAAATAATTGTCGATAAATCTGTAGTACTGTCGAGATTATTTCGTTGCTTCACCAGATGAATTATATGACCACTTTGTTAAAAAAAATTTCGGTTTAAAATTAGTCACTGAATATCTGTCCACCACCAACACTATAGTTTAACTGATAGCAACGTGAAACTATCTAACCTCAAAATTATGGCAATTAAATCAATAGCAATATTTTCGGTGTATAAAGCGAAAGAGTGCGAATAATCTTGAATTGAATAAGCAAACTAGAAAAATACAACAATACACATCAATAAACCATACCGCGTATAAAGCTGATTGCATCAGATCTTCATATATGTTCAACAATATAAACAAAACAATTTAGTGTACAAACTGGTGAGTCAGTTGGTGTTAATAAGTACACTATTTC